TGATATTTTAAACTTGACGTTATGTATATGATGTTTCTCTATAGGAGAGTATTGTTATGGCTGACGCCGTTCGCTTTTCTTAATCAAACCTCACAGATTACACAAACAATTATGCCGCAGGTCCATCACAAAACAGCAACTTTAGGAGTGCATTCTCAGATTACTAGTACATTAATGTGGCAGATTATATTCGGAAGTGGAGACTTATGACCTATGAGTTTGATGTATTTAGCCAAGACGTATTTGGACGTCACTATATTCACGGTGCCATCAAAATGCACCGCAAAGTGGCTTTCATGTTTCTGAGTTTGACTTGGTTGACTTTCTTGCTTCAATTTTTGTTTTGATTTGCTTTATTATTTATTTCAGCTATGGGCACCCGACATTGACAAATAGGAAACTTCACCAGTCGAAGAAGACAACTAGGATGACTACTGCAGGACTCCTAAAGGAAAATCGATTCCACTTACCTTCCAACCGCCGTGTTTCACTTGTTTTAGCTGGCAACCTCGTTAACTGAAGATGCCTGTAGCCACGCTGCTACGTCGTCAATGAGACAACTAGACACATTATACTACATGCATTACATGACATATGTAGCACTGAGAACCATAACCCATCACGATCCCATTACTATTATTATAAAAAAAAATCTGTAACATAAAATCGAGTTGCATAAACATTAACGATTTCAGGGCACATCAAACGCTGTGAACGCGCTGAAAAGATCCATAACAGAGTAGACATTAGAAAAAAAAAACTAAAACAAGCAAGAAACGAAAAAAACACCGAAATGATTAATACGTAAAAGATATGGTTATTAATATAAAATGACTGCTATTGTTGTTCATACTATGATCATATTTCCTCTGAAAGACACTGTTAAAATTGCGCAAAATATATTCAATTCCTATCAAATCACAGCAACATACTAAAACCGGTATTCTGCTGCTTCTGACAATACTACTGGAGAATTATAGTAAAAATCCGAACGAGAGAAGCGTTCGTTGCCTATTAGGAGTACTCTGGGATCAACAGGGTCATTACGATGATGCAAGTGCAACTGATATACTGTTATAGGTCATTATTATATTGCTATCATAACGACTATTGTTTATTGTGCAATGATTTATAGCGACAACTCGAATTGAATAAATTTTATTTCTCTCAATTGAGATAGCGGAATCGAAGTAGCGGCAGGGCAAATCACCTACTGGTAATTATTATGGGCATATGCTAATAGTAGTAAGGCATTCGAAGCGGTATTGAGACGGAATAATACACAAAGTACGCGAACCAGAATGATAATGTAGATTTTAGTCATGTAAGATCCTGTTTTGATATTTTTGACCATTATAGAATTGATTCTGGGCATAAGGGGGTATATGAGTCCAGACTCTCTCTTATCAGTTAGTTCTGAGGACAATCTAAAATGGCATTACCTTGATCTCACATAACGCCCAGCTAGGACGTAGCATACTAGACTATACATTGCTTGACAATACATTGCATCGACACGGTTCGTTATTAATTTATTTATTCACTATGTAATACGCATCAAGTACATATACAATATACATATATACAATACAATAGATAAATGAAATCACAAAAGGAGCACGGAAACTTCAGGACGTGTTGGCCTACAATAGGGATCAATGTTTTCATTGAAAACATGAACCGATATGGCTTCGTTTTTTATATTCAGGATTCAATTTAATCAAGTTGCATATTAACACAGATATAACAAGATAATAATAAGGAACAAGTGTCGAAAAATGTATATATGTTAGTACAATTAAATTCTACATGAGAAGATATAATAATCAGTGCTGCATTCTCTTTTGAATGAAATCTTACCAGCTTGGAGAACGTCGCAACCCAGGTAATATCGGGAGGTCATTAATTATTCAAGAAAATGGTGTTAAATTTAATTGCGATGCTTTTATTCAATATAGACTATTTTTCTGGACACTCTTAAAAACGTCAACTTGCAAAAGTGTATATATGAGGGGTGTAGTATATTATTAAAAATGGCACGGCCATTTGTAACCAATTAAGTTGAAGCATGTTTTATGAAAGGTCGTACAACAGACCTCAAAGCTTAGCTGTCTATTCAAATAGCTCAAAAATAGCTGTCTACTTAGGCTCGTTTATTATGTACTGTCAAGTGACTATGATCGACAACCATAAAATACTTATTAGTACTGACAAAAAGGGAAAAGAGTGCACAAATAATGTCGAACTGAAAGAGGTACAAATTTAATTAGTCTAGACGCATATTTAACCTATTGATGGTATAAAGAGCCTGTTGTCAAATTTGGAAAGAGAAAAGAGAATAAATAATAATCTCCAAACAAGGATTACAGAATCAAAGCTTCTAGAACTTTTAAACAGTAGGCACCCTGAAGAGCATTTAACTTATCTTGATTTCCTCAAAAGATGACCTGATCAGGTCTTTCTAATACAAAGTCGTTTCAGTAGGCCAATGTAATTCGATAATGAAACACGGAACGTGGTTCGCTAGATCCAAAGGATTCTTTTTCCACCTATGCGGCAAGGGAGTTTATGTTAATCGCTAAAAACTACACCATAATACATAACTGATATATTTTATTAGACTTCATAACCATATATTTTAATATGTTTAGTAAGATTAGCTATAAAGTATCTATACTCAAATTGGTTTATCACGCAAGACTTCGGTGCGATTTGGCTTATAGTTACCCCTAAAACTAATTGCACGGCAAAATAATATCTTGATTAAAATAATAAAAAACAAGTAGATATTGCTTTATTGTATTCTATTTCAAGAGCCGTCTCATATAAAAACTAGGTGGACATTTCAGAAAAAAATAATATAATAATCAATAAAACATAATAATATTAAGAAGCAGATTTCAATGAAACACTTATCTTTCTGCATTTGCGCTAATTCCCATTTTGCATAGTTTTTGATGTCTCTAGAAAGGTATGAAGATCGTACATGTGTTCTGGGTGGAATGGTGGTATTTGATGATGAATGATAATTTTTCACTCGATCGGAAGCACCAGAGTCCGGTCATCATTTAACCAACACAACGTTTCTTCAAAGATTAAAGAAATATAAGAGGCCCACACATTGTAGGCGTCCTATATCTTATATTACTTTGTCGGTTTTCTCGTGCTGCGGGTAACTGTAGAATAGGTCTATGGAAAAAACAACAAAAGAGTAGAGTAAATCTAAAAAAGCTTATATGACCTTACTTCCAAGGTCATACTTATTAAACCCTTATCTGTGTCGCTCTGCAAATATATGCAAAATATATAAAAAAAACTTCTATCAAATTTCTAGAAACGTTTACCTATAATTGTACCAGACGATTGGGATTCCATATTTACCTCAGCGTGTCACGTTTTTACAAGCTTTAATGTAAGCCCGAAAAACCATTGTGGTGCTGTAATTACAAAATTTTGCAGGACGGAATTTACTGGACTTTGAATAAGGTGCGAAAGGCTCTTCGAGGAAAGCATCGCCAACCGTTTAGAAAAATGACAACGGTTCTTTCAAGCAATCTAGTTAGTAGCTTTACAGCGACATCTGGAGCCATTAATGGCCTCCGTCGAGACAAGCAGGCAAACAGATCGCTCTTGAACTGAGGGAGCAGCGTAGTACAGAAGCGCAAAACGTAAAAAGACGTGGCGTTGCTATCTTTTATTTTTTGCACACTTATCACAGTGCCTTCACAGCTTCTGAATAGTCATATAACTACCATTCGCGTTCCCATTTTTAATTTCTCTTTATATATGGCTTATCGACGTAATTTGATAGATGAAACATACCCGCCTATCAGTCGCTCTTTTTAGAGTATAGAAAGCCGTGTAATCATACGGATCTAGATAGGGAGAATAAACGGGTTGAAGCCAACGTTTAAGATATCTTTGCTCAATTCAGGAAGAAACTGAGGCATGGCTGTGGGGTCCGGCGTTGCCACCGAGTAAGGATACTGCGTATTTTCGATTGCCTTAGCAACGATGCCCGAGTCTCTTAAAAAACCTAAGATAGCGTTTGCACTATTCGGACACTGTGCTTTTGTTTAAGGCGTCCTTGCCTAACGTCTTCATAAATCTTCGATAAATTTCTGCAGCGTAGTGGTCTTCTAGGAACAAAAACTAGACGACTGAACCTTGATCTTTAAAACTAAAAGGTGCCTTTCTTTCTGAACTCATTTTTTCCCTAAACTCAACCGATCTTTACTCGCAAGTTCTAGAAGTCTAAAATATTGACTAGTCAAGTTTCGTCCGTTAGTGGCATATAGCTCAAAAGTTATTTAATTTCAAAGTTTGCCGGATTCGCTTATAACAACCTGATATATATTGTTTGGGTATTTAGAGCGTGAGGTAGAGCTTGACAAAATCAGTCTTACTCGACCAAAGACAAAGCCACAACTGGCGCGTTGCTATAATAACATCTATAGAAAAAAGATATGGAGAAAAACTTCATTGCATTACAGACTCTAGTTGACTCGAGAATTCAAAAACTTTATTGCTTGCTTCCCTTTTTGCGTCAAGAGGGAGAACTCATACCACCGGTGGGCTCATCATGTACGCTGCGTGATATCGTTGCACGGTAAAAAAGGAAACCTATAAAGGGAGATGTCTTACCTATAATTTATCAGTACAAGTCTTTTATAAGCAGCAGTGCGAGATCAAACTTTCGTAAATATCCGTCGCGACACTTCTGTAGTACACAAAGAAAGCCGCTTATGCAAATACTAAAGTGACATTGTCTTCATTTTTAAATGCAAGTATTTACAATCTACTATCAGTTAGTCGTCCTCACAAGATATGGTGTTTGCTTTAAATAACAGAAAAATATCTGTTTTGATTTATATGTGTCCATTATAAAGATGGTACTGCAGTTACTCAGTTATTTAATACTGACTGTACATATACAAAGCCTTAGGGGGAGCAAGTAGTACGATATACGCGTACTGAACAGGCAAATAAAAACACTCTCGTTCTTTAATATGAACAAAGTACACAGGTTATTTTTAATGCTGTCTAATCTGGGCCGGTAGAAGCCGACACAAAATTAGCTATTTACATGCTCGTGAACGATAGTTCATGAGTTCAAAAGTACTTTACATACTTTAATTATTATCATTAGATGAATCAAATTTCGACAGATTTTTCATTAACGAGAAAGCTTTCCTTACAGTTTCCCTGCGAGTAAAGAGTTTCTTCAGTGCGCCACGTAATTAAGCATTCGTGAAGATATCACCAGGCTTGTGGTACTTGATTTTTTTAAATTTATTTTGTCTCGAGCTCCTTGGTGCTCACTCCCGCTTTCTGAAGCTCCTTTCTTAGCTGATCAGAGAAATCGTCTTCAACGTTATCATCATCCCAGTTATCTTCCCAGACATTTGCTTTTTCCGCTGCCTCGTCAAGCTTACCCGTCCATTCTGTTAATTCGTTAATAAATTGTAAAAAGTTTTTACCAGTCATTGAAGCACATATAAGACATCTACTTAAAACACTACAAATCATGCGGTCTCACTAGCTATTCAGCATGCATTTTCTAACTTTAACTAGATTCCTTTACTAAACAATTTTAGCTCTAGGAATCTACAGCTGCGTTGTATGTAATATAGTTTACTTAAAGAACTAGTAATTTTAAACACCTTTCCCTTACCATGTCCGCGTTTTATAGTTCAATTCAAACCAGTATGTATTACATTAGAAATGAGATACTGCTAGCCACATAACGAGCATTACGTAAGCCGCCCGGCTCAAGTCCAAGCTTGCTTGATCTCCCGTCAAATTTTAAGTTGCCATAATAATCACAACCTCTTTTTGAAACAGCTTTATCTGTCAGACATGGAACAAAAACGTTTTTCCTTAACGTTTTCCATGTTAGCGGTTGTTTTCAAATATGTAATTTACCGAAAGTCTACTTCCTGTAAAATGACAAGTTTATCTACTTCCATTTTTTATTATAAATATATGTAGTCTAATTTAATGGGCTTTTCAGTAAACACGCTTCTAGGTCTTGTATCGTTCTCTTCTTGTCTGCCAATTGATTGTTCATCATATTTATTTGTGTCGATTAATGGAAGGTCCGTGCCTTCTGAGGGCTGTTTGCTACATGTTTAGCAATCTTTTCCTATAGATATGTGCAGCACTTTGTTTGCGCTAGATATGAGACGAACGCTTATTGCGAAAATATGGGCTTATGACGGAATATGAAATATATTTATTCCGGAACGAAAAGCTCATATGACAACATACCGTGTTGGGCGCGTGTGTTTGACTAAACTCTCACCTTCAGCAGGAAACTCCTCAAACTCATCGTCCTCCTCAAGCAGGCCAAGATCGACTTTTTTTGGAGCCTCCGTGGTTGTAGTAGATGCGGCCATAGTATATCTAAGACTAAAAAGACCCTAATATTTAGTAGTTCTGATAACTGACTAGTTTGTGAAATATAGATATAATACATAATACTTGTTTGAAGAGCGATAGCGTTGACATATTACTATAATGGCGATCCATGAGGTCGACTGTTATAACAACTGATATGCTAACAATGCGCGAACCCATTAAAGTTAACATGCAAACGAAAATAACCCTGTATATTCTATTATGGCTTCTAAGTTTGTGCTAAATGTATTTTTAAAAATAGCAGATCGTTTCAAGCCACCTAACAGACATCCGATGATGGTACTCCACTCTAACATTTCTTAAAACTAATTTCAAAGTTAATTTTTCTATTTACTGCATCGTTCTGATCAGTTTGTACAGATGCTTTGTTGTGGGACATCTCCTTCGCTCAATCATAATCATACTTTTTTTTTCATTGAGGTTTCTCATTTTACTGATTTAGATATATGTTTAGGAAGACTTACTTGACTTACAAAAGGCAAAAGTACGAGTATTTGAATTTAACAAATAAGTCATAGAAGTGCAAGGCCTATAATTCAAAACGAGCTAACTGCACTGCTCTTATCTGCAGTGGTGCTCTCTGGTTACGAGCAGAACGTTTCAAATTAAAACGTGTATTTTAGTGCTCAAAATAAAATATATCGGTGTAATTCTATTTACTGGTTTAATTCTGCCTTTACAAACTTTCCCTCAGAATAGTTATTTCGCTTGTTTCAAAAATTGGGGCTCCAATATTAAGTAATCGCAATGTCGTTTAATCAATGCACTTCAGAAAATTGGGAACTGATTGTATTATAGTTTCATGCATATGCTATTAATAATGAACAGCAATAGTAATTCGATAGCCACAGTAAAAATGATAGTTTTAAGCTAGATTAATGCCATGCAGAGAGTTTAGATATTAGCAAAGCCTCATACACCTCCGTCATCTCTTACTAACAACGAAATTCCTTTAAGCTTTTGAGAACGACATTAAGTTGTTAGAAAGGGCACATTATTTTACTATTGAAAAAATTGCACTCAACATCAATAAACTACTGATTACTCACTTTGTTTCCAGAGCTCTACGTTGGTTTGATACCTTCCAGTCGCGTTTCGTTTACTACGGTACACACAATGCGCACAATAAGTATTGACAGTCACCAAAACAAACATGGCCACCTTATAGAGGGCGCCACCAGTAACCGCAAACGACCAATGAGTTTTTTAACATTATCGTCTAGACGACGTTGGAGTAGTGAAAGCACTAAACGACTAGCTATTTATTCTTTATAATCCTAATAATTAGCGTTTAGATAACAAAAATCCAAGTTTTTATTACCTCAGGCCAGCATTACGGTTATACCGTCACGGTTTGATGTTAGGGTGGGCACAGAGTTAATCTAAAATGTATAAAGTGTACAATTTAGTTTACGAAGATACACAAATGAAAAAAAAATATCATTATCATAATTCACAGAATATAAAGCAGGCAATCTAATTAAAAAAAAAATTTATAAAAGAAAATAACTATCGTCACTGATTGTCTGATATAGGGTAGCTGTAAATGAGGAAGTGATTCTTGGGAGTTACAACAAAAATGCATGTTAAGTCGGATCTGATTAATGCGTCAGTGTCCTCTAAATTAAATTTCTTGAAATATTTAGCAGTAAACCTATTAACACTTTTTTAAAGCCTCCTTCCCCCGCCTAATCGAAATGATCAATCCCTGGAGAAGTTATTGCTTCTATAATTATAAACATCGATTTTCACCGCCGCTTTGACGGTGCAAAGTTCGACGGCGAAATGATACTGCCTAAATATGTAAGCTTGTGAAAAAAATTGCGAAGAATCACATTAACCGACGATGATAGGTTTGATGTTAAAACAGATCTTTACTGTTCATTATTATTACTCTTAGTAGCTATTATTATTATTGCTATTACTCTAGCTCCATAGCATTTAAAGTATGTGGCAGTATTCGTGCCTAACTGTTCTAAAAACTCTCTTTTTTTTTTTTTCAAGTTTTTCAAGTAACAATTAAAAATCTTTTGAGATATAACAACTAACCTTTATAACGATGCTTCGGTCAATTCTAAAATCAGTAATCTACTCCCAAATTTCTACAGTAATAAATCATCGTATTAAGCTTTATGAACTAGGGTGAATTTGATGTCTTGGATAAGCAAACAAGCACCCTATGTTATTGCTACGAGGGTCTGAAGTCAATTTTAGCAAACGTGTGGAATCCAAAGTATATTTATAGTGACTTAATACTATTAGCGGTTCTTTGTTATTCTACTTCATGCAAATCGTTAAACCCAACAGCTACGTAAATAATGTTTACCTTTACGCTACTGTAAACAGTAGGAAATTGAAGTATGTCATGAAGAACCTGCGAAAAATGAGAAGTAGTTTGCTGAGATAACAAGAAGGAATGCTACCTATAAATACTAATAAACGGTTGTCCTTAGAACTATTAAAATTAGTTTACATGTTGTGAGCGTACGTGTATTAGCGGAAATAAAAGAAGACGCCAGCTTTATGCTGCATTATTTTACCAATGTTTTTTGAAATTACAATTAATTATTTTAGGACCGAAACCTAATATCGTAAACGATTTTGAGGCTCCTTTACGGATAGTATAGTTAGCTAGCTATTTATTAATAGCAAAGAATTAGAAGACTGCTACTGAGCGGAAGAAGTGCAAAGTTAACGATCCATCACTAGAAAAAAGAAAAGCTTTATTTTTGATCACTGGCGCTATCCGTGTTCAGTAGGGATGTTAATGAGATAACGAAATATCAGTTTTAGAGAAAAATAAGTTATTGCCGTTGCAAAATTGTGACGTATGAATCAGCATTTACAATGCTGACCTGATTGCAAGTAAGTGTATTTGAAAGTGCCCCATGCAGTTTATCGTAGAAGTGGACGTCTACTTCAAACTTATTTAACACATAAATCGTGTTTAACATCTTTTATAACAGATCCTTTCAACACAGCGAAGTGCATAATACTAATAAAAGATTTTATTTCGTCCACCGTATCAAATTCGTGTAGCAGTACATTTCTGTTTACAGGTTCCAAGTAGGATAAATAATCTGCAGCTAACTTAATTTAGTCAAGTGTACCTGTGATGACCTAGTGGATAAAAGTATTTGCATACTAATTTTAAGGACACGTGGTGGTCAAGGTTCAAACTTAGGCATAGACACACGGTTCATTTCGTGATATGAGCCGACCGTCTGAGCGAATGCATAACGGCGATAATGGACGTAAAACTCGAAACACCGTCATTCAGGTTGGGTATAACAAGGTAGGAATTCAAACGTGATAATCAAAGATAATGAAATGAGCCGGCCATTTATATAAAAGATGTATCGATGATGAAATATAAATAGCATTGAACGTGTACGGACCCCATTTACTTGGAAAAGTTTTAGCATATTTACAATGGAGAACTACTTCTTACCGGTGTACTTATACAGGTCGCAGTTAAATACTTCATATGTGAAGAACTCGAATAAATGTAACTAGTACACAAATGAGTTCAGTCATGTACTTGGTTTAGTACAGGTTCCATTTTCACGTATCTGATATTGCACACTGCAAGCATTCGTAGTAAATAAATACGGCTTCTTCCAGGGCATCGGTTTGCCATCGTGTTTTTTTAGCTCAAAATGCGACGCTCTGTGTCGCTGCTCCATGGCACTTGACTGGGCTTGCCAGTCTCAGCTCACAACAAGCGAAGACGATTTGAAAAACCCGTATAAGCGAGAGGTCATAAGCCGAACAATAGGTGGAAGCGAGATATATTTCTGAGATGCTGATTCATTTTGGATGCGTACATTCATCCGCCGCCGTTCTAAGTAAGCTGACATCGATATTTATCTGTTGCTACTTCTCGAGCGGGAGAAGTGGTGCGTCCGACTATTCATCAAGCAGTTCTTTTCCCTGGAAGAAGACATATAAAAATGTATGATATAAGTACGGCGATGGGTTTATCACCGAACCTAGAGCCATAGCATGCAACGGAGTGCAGCTTTCCTTTACTTGTTAGGTCAACACGAGCTTACTGAACTTCTTCTAGATTTCAGATCGTAATGTTGCTCATTAAATTTACTACTTTTCCAATCCTCAGCTAACAAACATTAGCGAACAAGTGGTACTTCTTTAAGTAAACTTCAGGGTTGGGTAGCTTTTATCTTCCCGCTTATTTTGAAAGCAATAGCTGCATCTGATACTTTATCAGATGAGTGGGCAAAAATCAATTTAAAAAAAAATGCTTCAAAAATTTATATCTAGGACATAATAGAGTTATACAATCGCAAAATAGAAGACCTGTACGGGTTGAAATCGTCTGATGCCGCCCTTTGCATGCTTCTGAGGCAGCCTAACAGCAGCCTGAACAGGACCTTTTTTTCGCTGAAGCTGCATGGCCGAATTTTTGCTAAAATATTGGAATTAGTATATATTATTATTTATGGCATAGATAAATTTATTCATTCCAGTAACGGTCGTGATGCTTACTTCATAATGGCTATTGGTCTAAACGTTTGTTTCGTAGCAAACCCGCATACAATCATTGAGCAATGTGCAATTGCTTACACTTCTTTCCGAATATATTTGACAGCGTTTAACGGAACTTGGACATTTGAACGGTACTCTAATATTACTTGTTTTTTACCGATCGTGGAAAAGATATCGATACGAATTTAGAATGCGAAAAATGGCGTCCCACTTAGCCGTATACCCGTGCCATTAATAGTTGTTAGGTGTACCATTGTGTTTGATTGCAAGATCGCCCGAGCTTGTTTTTACCTTGTCGACGGTGTTGGCGATGGTTTTGGAGTAGTACTTGACGCAGTAATGATATCTGTTATTGTTAAGTTTTGGTCCACCTGAATTTCTTCGTTCTGAGCTAGTTTCTGATCTTCTTCGGTAACCATTCCTAACCATTGTCGGATCTGTTGATCTCCATGCGTCCCTCCATTAGCCGTTTTGTCCGGTTCAACTGTCTCCGTAATATCACTATTTTTGCTTGCCTGGTTACCGAAGTCCACAACTCGAATACTATCGTCGGAGGCCTTCTCTCCGTTAAATTCGGTCGAATTGTCGTCGGTGGATGCGGGACTTGGCCCGCCCGCTCTGCAATATGTCGATTATGCAAAAACAGGTGTGAGAAAAAGCGCAGTTCTTTTTGTTCGTCTATAGGATATTATACTAACAATATAACCCCTACTGTTCGGAATAATATATTTAAAATAACTATTCGGTTACGTCACTTGCAATGTATAACGCAAACAACCACTGGAGGACAGTCCACCTTTCCGTACATCGCTTAAAATGAAAAAAAGTAAACTAAATGGTTAAAGTTTATATCGGAAGCCGCAATTAGGCATGAAACCAGTTAAAGCCATTACTCAATTAAATATAGGAAATACTATCTCACCATAGTGGAGCGAAATAAGCTAGAGAAATGTTCGTACACAGATCCAGATGTTTTTGAAAAAACAGAGGCACAGAATCATAGCTATCGAGCTAGAGATCTGGGCTGTACAGTGGCTGATCGATCCGTAAATCTGTACAAATAGAAAATGTATTGTAACAGGTGAAATTGATAACTGTATAAACGCTCTTTTCTCTCTTTGCGCTTTTACCTTAGCAGCTAGCGGGTTTTTGATCGAATATGGCACAAAGTGTTTCTCAAGAATACAAAGGACAAAAATGTCTACCTGAACTCTCGAAGAACCATTTTAGCATGTTACTTATTACACACATTTCAATGATACACTTCACTTGTACACCACTTTGATTATTATTATATATACAGAAAAAAAGAGGATTTTTAAAACAACTTCAGTTAGACGATCTCGACAGCAATATTTTGTAATAAACTCATCCACTTAAAAATGGACGAAGTTTTATTGACGCACCAGTTATCCTCTTTGAAGTATACAGCTATGTGTCAAATCGAAGTAATACCAACATTTCAGAGATAAATCCATCCCGTAAGAATATGCCAAACACTTATCGGCAAAGCAACGTCCTTCGCAAGTGTATACCATCTTCTGTTACTGGGCATCTTCATCTAAAGGTGCGTGGCGTAAGTTAGCGTAGTAACGCTTATATCTAAAGTCAATAGATCACATTTATGGGCTACGAAGTCTCTAATTATTTGTGGGCGGGGACAAAAGCTACGAAATCTCTACACGTTATCTACATATGAAGTACAACCTCCAGAGAGTGTGAATGGATAATGTCCTTCACTTTTCAGATAGCTTATCCAATGTTTCTATAATACGTAAACTAGAATAGTATTATGCATACATGTCGGAAGCTACCATGGGATAAAGCGCAAGCAAGCTAATTTTAATATAATAGCCAAGAGTCAAATAAATTTGAAAGCCACCAGAATTATAGTATGGGAAAACTTAAGTTTAAGAATTCGTTCTAAATGCAATGATGCAAGCTTTACATAGACACTTTTCAAAAAGCTTTTGAGAGTGTAGCATATTACCATTCACATAATTAGAACATTCGACATTTGCAAGGATTCAACGAGACAAAAAGATGTCACGAAGTCTGTTAAGGCCTTCGCGAGTTCACGTCTAGGGGTACTCCTACTGCGGAGTAGTTTAACTCGGAACACTAATCATTGGATACGATTCTTACGAAAGAGGCACATATATAGTTCAATGTGCTCAATGATACCGGATCTACTGAATCTCGGATATGACCATGTTATTTTACCTAGAGACACAGGAAGCAAAGCTCACCGGCGACGAAGTTTGTCTGCCCGTCGCCGCAGAATTGCGGGCAGATCGAATTGTTTAAACAATTGTTGGAACAGCGCTTTGGTGAGTTCGTCTGCACGCTCCGAGTTTCCACCAGCGAACGAAGACGACGCAGTTGTTATCAAAAGGGACTGCAATCGCTTCCATAGTGACTGCAGACGTGACCGCGTCGTTGGAGAAGTCAGACCAATCATTCGTTCCATCTGAGAAAAACAGACGATAGGATCAATATAAGGATGATGAAGCTCCGAAAATTACAAGAGATAGTTATCAGAATGAGTGTTGATACTTTATGCGGATCTGGGTTACGGTTAAGTACTTACATCAATACCGATTGTCATGTTTTAAACACTTAGGTATTTTGTGGTATAAAAAAAAGTGTCAGAATCGAAGTGAATAAAATTTATTTTTGCTTTTACAGATCACGTGTTTATTTACTACGTGCCTTGACTTAGATAGGACACCCGAATATTGAAGCAAAGGTTTGTTAAATAGAATTTTCGTAATTAAAAAATATCATATGGGAAAGAACCTCCGTTCTTGAAGAAAAATAGCTAAGAAACTGCCTCGATGATAACTTTTTAGGGTTAATGGCATAGGGTCCGAAACTTCGTACAGCTATAACATGTAAGTGTAAAAATCCTTTTTGTTACCACAAGATTTCTTGCATCCTGCTCCCCACCAACTCAGATCAATGTTAAGATGTGATATTCTAACATTTTTTCAAGGTTTGTGAACTTCTTGCCGCGCATGCGCATCTCATACCATTGCTTGCAAAGATATTGAAACCGAGCTTCATCGTGGTCTTAGACGATGGCTGGGCCCAGTCATTTTGGACAGAAGGTGGTTAGGAGACCTAAATTTGAGAAGATCATAAAGTTGGTGTCACAAGGAGACGCTATTAGCCCATTTCTATCGTCTGCCCAAATCACTAATCTTCCGGTAGTAAACCAGCGATGGTACAGAGCAATAAAGACTGTTGAGAATGCCAACGACGTACTTATGGACTAGAAAATCCGTTTTAAGCTTCAGTACGCCATGTCACTTTAAATGAAAGTAAGCAGGTTTTATTAAGAAGAATATATCGTGGACCTCAATGTTACAGTGGTATTAGTAAAGCGTCTACGCTATGTGCATCAGGTTTTTTTATTGGATTTGAAACTTATCACAAGCAGTTTAGTCTGTTAGGATACAGCCTACCGGTGGTGGTCCACCACACTTATTTCGTTGCACAATTCGAGTTCAGAGTTGCAAGCTCCGATATTCGAGACTGCTTTTTCTGTGAAGTATCATAGCAAAATGAAAATATACGAATCTCAACAGACTTGGTGGCAGATGCTCAACACTCTATAGAAATTTTAGCTATTCTTGTATAAAATATAAAACTTAAATTCTGTTTCCCTTTTATTTAAAAGAAGTGGCATTATTTGTGGGAATGAAAAAAAAGCATTTAGGTTGAGACGGTAGACCCAACCTGTGAGTTATGCGTGGTTTCCACCGCACATCGTGAATGAGCATTGGGTCTCATATCGCAGCTAGCGAATATCATTGACAGCGTTGCGGTATTGTCCGACAACTATCAAACAAAGGCCTATTCTCGCTTTCCCTCTATTTCGGACACGTATTTCTAACGCATAACTGTTTGTGCCGAATTGGTTAGAAGTGGATTTGTACACGGCTTGCATGAAAAGCGCTTCTTCAACCTAACATGTCATGTTTGTAGACATCACTTTGTAAATGCAATACATTTTTCTAGGTACCCTTCGACACCCAAAGATGTTTGAAGTGTTTGTCCTGTATAATAAGTCGTTCTGAGCGTTAATTGAATATATAAAAAAAAAATTAAATAAGAGTGTGTTTGTGCACTGCGGATGTTTATATGAGTACGAGTGCTTAAATATTCGATAGTTTAGATGCTCTACTAACCGCTTGCCCAAATTCACTAGGTTTATAGTTTTCAACCATGTTAGAGTCGACAGGAGTGTAATGGGATACCACTGCTGTATCTCGACGCTCGCGATGACGCCTTATCGATCCCGCGAGTTCGTTGAGACAAGTCGGATTCTCTGGTAGGGGCACAGTAAGCTTCAGCAATCGGTCCAGGCCAGCCTGTCGTTTTGCTGCCATTTCTTCTCTTATCTAGATAAAATGGTTAATATACAATTTACAACAACAGGTTAGGGGTTTGCGTTCTTAATTTTCTACATTTTAGGATAACTGTACGTAGGAATAAAATGTGTAATTAGTTAATCAAATGTAGGGCAATTTACCGTTAACGTCAAAACGACTACTTTTAAATCCCTGAAAGCACCCTTTCTCATGGAATTAATCCACCATAAAAGTATTTTAGTTTTAATTAAACTAATAATGATAAATGAGATTCAATAGTTTAACTTATAAAGTAAAGTTAAACTATTGCATCTCATTTATCATTCTGTCATACGCAACGGAAAACGCCTATACTCCATAGAGATAGCGGGACGAAATTTTACACTGAATTGTTACGGTAGCGATGTTTCTAGAAAGAGAATTCAGTAACATATTCGTGTTCTAGCGTCAGAAGCCTGCGCGAAGGACGGACCGGGTATTAGTTTGAAGACTTCGAGGAATCGACGATTTTTAGACGCGTTTGCTTCGAAATGAACGGTGGGAGAAGCACGAATGCGGTAGACTGAATGCTGGTAAGAAATGCTGCGAAGATTTGTCACTACAGCAGCAGTCGACATATCTTTGACTCGCCCTCATATATAATGTAAAAAGCTTGCACGGGGGATTCTACATTATATAAAATTGAAAGTACCCGCTATGTAAGTACGAGTAAATTGAGTTTCACCACCGGGACTAGTTGCGACGAGACTCATTCGTCCGAGTCGAGAGAGATTTGTTACTATCTATTTCTGATAAAACTACTTGTTTAGTTTCCCTGGAATTCACAATTGTGTGGAATTGTGCGTTGTACTGCCAGTACAAGTTCGCGGTAGACCATAGCGCCATGCTAGGTTTGTAAATACCGTAAGAAGGTAAATAAAGTGTTAGTAAATAATTATGGCCATCTGTCATATTTTCGAGGCATCTATACTCAAGACAGTTGCTTTATACAGCACACATTTACGTCGGTCAGGTCCATTGCTTCGACCGCCCGCACTAGCCCACGCGTTTTTATATCAAACCACATAACTGGCTTAAAGAAATAGAGCATAAGCTGGTACTGAACCGAACGTCGTTTTGCTTTACTCTAATTAGAGAAAATAATTAAATGTATATGAATTAAACAAGTGCAAATTATCGACTGAAGCTAAATGGCTGACATGTCTGATAACACGAAAAAATGTTTTGAGTTTTATGTCCGTTAAACACCGTATTGGACGGTTGTCTCTTTGCGTGAAACGCGATGTCGAACGTAATCTGTATGACGTGCTTTTACGCCTCATAATAAGGCAGATGTATTGCCACTGCGACAACACTGGATCGCACCTAATTGGGAGTCATCCAAATTAGGTGTGCAGACATTCAAGGCGTAACGATTATTCTTGTAGGGTACGTAAAATAATGGGCCGATAATGAGTCTTTGCATAGAAACGCAAACGAGTGGCGTGAAAAGATAAACGAAAGTAAAATTGTTCCTTTTATCATAACGGCTAACTCAGGCCGTTGAGTTAGGGTACACTGTCCTATTCTATCAGTTGAGATTAGCTATAGTTTTTGTTATAAAAGCGGTAAAATAGCAAAAGAGCTGGTTTCATTACTTGATTCAGGTTAAAAATTGACGAACCTAACCTTTTTTCAAGATGCACAGAAGACTGTGACGCGAAATGATCACATGTAGGACAAATCGTACTCAAGACGCGCCTTAAATCGTAAATTATTTCGGAAATATTCAGGTTTATCAAAAACACCCTACAATGTACTTTGTGTTTTTTGCACTGAGCAATTGTCGCTGGTGTCTTCGATGCCATATGGTTATGCTGGTTATTAAATGAAAGGAGCTATTTATGATACCCAATCGACACTAAGCCGTGTGTTAATAAAGTACTAATTACTAAATACACGTGGAACCGTGATTAGGGTTCAAGATCAGACAAAGTCAGATTTACAACAAATTTAGATGCATAATAAACACTATGAGTTTACTAAGCCATTATAGCCCTCGCACCTTATAGGCAATTTTCTATAAAACCGTTGAA